AAGACGATGAACATCAAGACCTTGAGAAGAAGATGCCAGCGCCGTGGGGCAGGAGCAGGGAGAGCCGTTTACTGCCTGGGGAGGCCGAATCCTTGGGCCACAGGAACATCGGGAGGGACGAGCGGCTGCAACAGCCTCCTGGCACGGGGGAAATCTCGAGGGCCAAGGCCCAGGACACGTCCCCCCGCGGCACTGACCTCGTGGGGGAGTGCTGCTCCGAATCCGAGCTCTGCGAGCGGGCAGGGGGGTTGCTGCTCCGCTTCACCCAGGCGTTCTCCTTGGGCGGTGGCGCAGGCATCACCTTCAGGGGCTGCTTCTCCTCCTTCGGCTTGGAGGTGGGAGAAGGGGCATCGTCCTCTTTGGCGAACGTCTCGTTCTCCAAAGACTTCTCGCTCTCCCGCCTTCGCGTGGCTGCAGGGGACACACAAATCAATGTAGGATCGCGCAGAAGCTGCAAGAGGGGTGACAAGTGACAAGCCGGGCCCAGCTCGGGGCCACCCTGCTCTCTACTTACTCCTGCCCGTCGGGCCAGTTCCCACAGAGGTGCCGGGGGGCCCCGAATTGCCGGTCTGCGAGGACTCGCTCCCCGTCCGCGACCGCTCCTGGTTCTCTTCGCTTCGCCAGCTGGGATGCCTGCGCCGGAGGGGAGAGGGGGCTGATGCGGGTGCTCGGGAGCCGCAACACGGGGAGGGAAGAGGATCAGCGAGCGGGTTTAGAGCACCCCGAGAAGTGTTATCACGCCGGAGGGGAGAGGGGGCTGATGCGGGTGCTCGGGAGCCGCAACACGGGGAGGGAAGAGGATCAGCGAGCGGGTTTAGAGCACCCCGAGAAGTGTTATCAGCACCGCCGCCAAGAGGCAAGGGCAAGGGTGCTCCTTCTGTAGCCGCTCTTCCACCTCCCGCTCCCTGGCAGCCGTGTCCACCGGTTTGGCCCCCCCGAAGATGGAGGCAGCCCGGCTGGACTGGGGCGCAGGGGCCACGGAGGTCTCTTCCTCCTTGGGCGCGCTCCGGGGCTTCAGGTTCAGCTTCGGCCTCTGAGTGGGACCTGGGAAGGAGCAAAGACACGACGAGTGAGGACGAATCCCACCCTGAGCTGCTCTCAGCAGAGCCGGGGGCGGTCAGACCCGCGCCCCCCCCCCCCCCCCCAAGCCATTACCTCTGTCCTCACGGCGGAAATCATCCCGGCCGTAATCATCCCGGGAGTTCCACCTATCCATCCGGTCATCCCGCCGGTCATAGCGGTCTTCGTAGCGGTCACCGCACCCTCGGTAGTCGTCATCCCGGCGATAGCCGGCGCCGAACGCCCTCCTGC